ATGGAATCATGGCCCATCCAATGCACCAAAGGAAAGCTCAGCTGGAACCATGACCGGCTTTCGATTTGACCCCCGACAGTGCAATTACTGGAATCAAAAAGGAAATCAATAATAAGTCCGAGTGTGGTGCATTTGCTTTGTCCTTTTCGGAGCGTCGGCGACTGCGATTTTTTTTGTAGTAAGGTTTATTTATGTAAGCAATATACTTACATAAATTCCACTTACCTTACATCACAACGATACGCCATATAATTTAATATATAATTATATGGATATCAATTTAACATTTGAAACTTCCACCACCAGTGTTGAATTAGTCTCAATTGATCCTGGTTTTGTGGAGAAATAATGTACAAACTCGTACCTGAGGTGACGGCCCTTACGAAGAGTGGTGGGGAGAGGCCTCTTCTTTTGCCCTTTGCAGTGCTTTTTGTTTTCACTGAGCTGGAGCTGCAAAGGACTTGTAGGCCTTCTCCATAGGGAATCGATCCCATACACTTGCCAAGGGCGAGCAGGTTGCAAAACGGAGTAGAGCTGAGGGCCAATGCATGTATATATGTAGATATATCGTTTGCGTTTTTCTCGTCAAGTTATATCTACTTGTATGATATATATATATATAACAAAATGTAATGAATGTCCACCTTGAACGTTTACTGTACTTGTTCAGTAATGTTTAATGGGGTACTTCGTTATAAGTATTTGATATCCCATATACATTTTGGCTCAAGGTGACATTCATTGCATTTAGCGTTGCTTTGCTTTGCTTTAAAAAAAATCCCCACCCTCCACTTCCCTCTTTATCCCCTGCGGTAGTTTCCTTCCGATGCATCCGTCATTGTCTCTATCCAATGGAGATTTACCCTTTCTGACAACCAGTCAGCCATTGTGCCAGCATTCGAACATCCGAGCATCCGTGTCCATGTCGCATGCGTATTTTGCCATGCTTCCGGTAGGTTTCACTCCCACTATCATTGGATCTCCTAGCATGGACTAATGCCGATCGTTCAAGCACATATAACATGTCCTCCAACGGATCCTTTGGGTATTCCGATCACTGGCTGGTTTCCAGCCACCAATTTAAAAGATCTCTGTTATTCATCACTTAGTGATGACATGATGGTTTTGTCATGTTTTGTCTTTGTCATCTATCGCGTTTATATCCTGAACTTCAGTTGTGCGTTTGCTTTCTTTTTCATTGAATTTGCATTTTCCAGAGATCAATGTCCCTCATTTGAGCACCATCTGGGGGAGTTCAGATCCATTGACATAGATGGATTTGTAACCAGAATAAACTGGTTCAGAATGGCATCCAAATGTCCAGCAATGTGAAAAAGGAATATCAATTAACTGCGAGGGATCAAGTGGAAGGGGAATTCAACCTGAAAAGGTTGTGATGTTTGTTTGTTTTTTGGTTTTAAACTAATGCGCGTTTTATTCACATGTAGATATTTATATATATGTCTATATGTATATATGTATATAGATATATCGTTTGCGTTTTTCTCGTCAAGTTATATCTACTTGTATCAGATATAACTAAATGCAATGAATGTCCACCTTGAACAAAATAACGCGTTGCTGCTGCCAAATTCTTCGCACATTAGCATATCAAACAACAAGGATGACATCAAATTTTGCGGTGGTTGAGAAAAAAACTGTGTAGCGTTTGCTTTTGAAAATTGTTGGAACCTTTTCCTTACAAATTGCATTGGCTGGAACCTGCAACGCAAAACTGGACCAAATCTCACGGATTTCTTGAGACCGCTGAATCATGTATGGGGTGCTATGAACATGATCTTAAACAAATTTTCCGGTTTCGATTTGCCAACTCAACCGATTTCGAACTTGTGGTGCATGCCTAAAAAATACTCACTTTACAATTTACAACATAGAAATTTATGTATTTTATGCTGGAAGTCACCTTGCCACTGAATTTGTATTTACAACACATGACCATAATTTATAGAGATACAAAACATGACCACCATTGCTCTCATTTCTCCGTTTCGACAACCGCCTCAGCTGCCATGAGAATTGCAGGGCAAACCACGCCGATTTGATGGGTTTTAAAGATGACGGTGAGAAAAAACGCGTTTTGTATGTTTCCATTCGAAATTGGAGCGCTTTGCCACTGGTTGTGTTCATTTTGATATGCAGTCTTTGCGGAACATTTTACCTAAATTGGTCGTGGGCACCAGCGCCACAACCAAACGAGTTTGCATCCACTGCATCCACCCTGCACTCCGACGTCAACCAGTGGAGTATTGACTTTGTTGATACTCGGGAAATGCCGGAAATGCCATTTGCTACGAAAAAATCAGGGCCAAGGTTTTCGTCGGCTTCAGGTGCAAATGCAACTCAGTCTGGTGCAGCAGTTCAAACTCGCTTGGCGCCGTTGCGATTGGAAATGAAACTTTGTGGTGACTTTCCAGAGCAGCAGTTTCAAATCATCAGCACCATTTTGATTGGTGTTTTGCTTGGTGCACAAGTGGTTTTACCACAAAATTTCGCAGAGGGAGACTTGGAATTCAGCTGGATGTTTGATGTGGACAGGTTGCAACTTTTGGGACAAAGCATTTACACCAAGTATTGGTGCGTTAGGAGGAAAACATTGGCCCATGGCCTGTGGTGCTCCAGCGCGTATGTGCCCGGCATTTTGACGCAGAATCAATTTCTGCAACTTGAAACCATGGCAAAAACTTCTGGGCGCTCCATTCAGGAAGTCGACATCTCTCAACTTGTGAGAAAAATGGCTCCAACACATTCAAAAAAGAATCTGCGAACGACCTTCGTGGATCTACCAAAAATAAGTGAAAAAATTTGGTATTCGCACTTTTCATCCCTCACAGAGACTGAAATGTTGGAAGGCAATCAGTTTGTGGTGATCAATGACAAACATGGCTGCCATTTGTACAAGCACCTGAAGGCCACTGAGCCAGATGTTTCCCATCGGCTCTTTTGGGACATCTACGAAATTTTGGAATTCAACAGCGCTGTCTACGGAATTTTGAGACATTTGAAGATGAACCTGGCGCAACATTTTGCAAGCGTGGCAAACGACCGAGCCATTTCTTTTGGATACCCAATGGCGACGAATGTTGCAGTGGTTGTTTTGGAAAGTCAGGATCATTGCTCCGAACTTGATCACTCTGATCATTGCTTTGATATCGGAAACACTATGCTTTCGGAGGGCGTGCCTCCTTCAAATCCGGTATACCTACGTTCAGCAGAAACCGCCGCAGAACTCAACAGAACAGTGTTGGGAACCATCTACACGGTGGTGACAAAAGACATGTTGGTGCAACCTTCGGTCTACTTTCACAACAACATCATTTGGTCTGCCGTGGAACACCTGATGGCTGCTGATGCCATTTCTGTCATTGGACCGTCATCGTCAATGTTCTCTTCTTTGATACTGTTAGCCCGACGTCGCCTGGACAAGGCAGCCTTTCACTACGACGGGAAGATGACACTGTTGGAAGCTGAAGGAATTCTGAGACCAGCGAAATCAACTGTTGAAATTTTGCGCTATCCTATCAAATGGGTGTTTTCAGTGGGTAAACGCCACAGGCCGTCAATCGCATGGAACATGAGCATCGCGGCTGTTAAAAGTGCTGCCGTTGCCAATGTGGTGCCGGTGTGCTTGACCAATGCAGGTCCGGACTCTGAACTGGTCCAGCTTCTTATCAGGATGGGTGTCCGTGTCCTGCACCACACACCCAAGTGGCATGCAAAATCCAAAGCGGTTTTGAATCAATGGAGGGCCAAAAGTGATCGAAGGTGGATATATACTTTTCCAAAATTTGGAGACATCCAGGGCATGCTGATGCGGATTGATATTCCCGTTGTGGGTTTGCTGGATCGTTTGGTCCTCTACACTGACATTGATATTTTATTCCAGCAGCCAGTGGATTGGGAGACCATGCTTGGAAACAGCACACTGTTCACCGAAGAAAACATCACCTATGCTAAGCCTGGAGCGATTGGTTTGCCACGCTTCTTTGCCATGAGCACAGAGTTTGTGCAAAGTTCCGACCGGGAAAAGATGGATACTGGGGTGATGCTCATGAATTTGGTGAATCTACGGAAAACTCACCAGGAATTTGTTAATTTTTTGTTTGACGAGAACAGGACCTGGAAGTACTCAACCTCAGACCCTACTGGCTACAAGGCCTACTACCGCCGCAACGGCAAACTTGAGGCAACTTTTCTTCCATACAGAATGAACTGGAAAGTCTTCTGGGACGGAAGCAAAAAGTCAGACGTGGAGCAATCCCTAGACCCTATCATTGTGCATTTTCATGGGCCGAAATGTGAGACTGGCATACAGCCTTTCCTGTCAGAAGGTATTGTGCAGGATGAAAGCTTTCGGCCACTGCTGGAGCAATGTATCTTACTTGACAGCAAATGTTTCCGATATTGCCGACAATACGAGTGGTTTCTGTTTGAACATTATAAGCAGATCAAGTGGAATCCGAAAGTGTGGTCCACAGCTAGATGAACCTGCCAGGATCCTGCCAGGCTTTCACTGAAAAAGAAACGACAAAGCTAGACAGCTATAGACAGCTGATTTTGTTACAGATTTCTAATTCTCTTGTTGTTGTATGTTGGTTCACCATGTACATCAAGCAGGTTTGGTCTTCTGCAAGGATTTTGGCACCAAGTCATGTTTGCATTGCTTCATTGTGACATGCGATCATATGTGCGCTTCAAGCTTCCATTTATATCATGCTCACAACAACATTCCAAAACAATCCAAAAGCAAAAAGTTATCCATTTAATTATCCATTTGATCATATTTAATCCAAAACCTTGTAGGAAGGCTTTGTAGAATCAAACGTCCTTGATCGGCAAGTTGCTCAATAGGCCGCGGCCAAGCTAGACCAATCACTTTCTGCTGCAATATGTTTTGATGTGTGAGAGCATCCAGCACTTTGAACAGTCACAGCCAAGCCACATGGGGTTTTGAAATGTTTTGAATTTATCGACCAAAGACCCTTTGGTGCAGAAACTGACGCCAGACTGTCATGTGTCGCGAAGTCAACCATGTGTACCGCTCTCAGTGCTTATGACCGGGGGAGAGATTGATAGGCTGCAGCCTTACGCGGGCCAGCAGCCAGACTGCCGCAAAGAGCTCAGTCCTCAGTCATCGGGGGGGGGGGGCCCCCCCCCGCCCCCAGCACGGTGGCGGGTTTTTTCCCTATAGTCACACTCAAGTGCACGAATCTGCGCCATCTGGTGAATCATGGTGAGAGAGCCTACAGAATGACTCCATCCAAGTCGTTGCATAATCGGACACTCCGGCGGACCAACTGTTCGCAGGGCCTCAAAGGCCTTACATTCCCAGAGCACGTGAAAGATGCTAGGGACTTTGGGTTCTTTGCAAAGACTACAAACATGAACAACCGGAGACCGATCAAACTGACAAGTGACCGCTTCCGTCAGCATGCCACCGCACAAGATGGCGACGGTGTGACCGTCAGCTTTTTGGGCAATCTTACGGACCTTATCCAAAACTTTGGGGGTAAAATTAATACCATGTTCCCTGGCCAGCGTCGCGTCCCGTCTCTTGGAACGCTTCCAAGCGTCAATTTCCGCCATGCGCCAGGACGTTCTGACATGATGCAGGGTCTGTTGAAGAGTAGTCTCATCGCTAGAAACATTCCAGTGACACACATCGGGCAATGTCACCGAGTCGCTGCGAACCGTCCAACCAAGAGGCTCAAGGAAGGTGGTTAAGGCACTAACATGCCTTTCAGTCCAAGACACACCAAGTTGCAGCTTAGCCCAAGAAGCCGTAGCTCTGAAGAGAGCCTGAATGCCAAGAAGCGTGATGTTGCAAGGATGGCCAAGAAACAAAGCCCGATGCAAGGCAGGCGAAGCTCTGCCCCCCGGGTACTTCGGTGACTTAGTGGCCTGGTCAAAAGCCTTAGCAAAGCATTCGGTCTCAGCTTTGGTGGGACTGCGTCCATTAACCACATGCCCCCAAGAAGCTTTAGTACTGGCGGTGGCCTGGGCCACTGCTCGTTTAAGTTGGGCACTCCCAGGTAATATAGCAATGCGACGGCACAGGGCCGTGCTTTCCTGCATCCTGTCCACTTCCTCCGGGGAAGGTTTCCTATTCACAGGACCAATAGTACATCCCAAAACATGCAAATAGTCCTTAGTGGAATAGCCAGCTTGCCTAAGTTGCTGAGCGGCTTGTTCAGTCCTGGGCCAAATCTGTGTTTTAGAGGTGTTTGTGCGAAGACGAGTCAACCGCTCAAAGACCGTGACCCACTGTGCCTGAAACGTATCAAGATCCTCCAGCGTTCGGAAGAGCGCAGACCTGTCATCCATGTAACAAATGCAATGTGTTCCAGGCAGTTCAGAGGCCTTTCGCAGCGGCCCCGCCAAGAGGCAAGCTAAGGTGAGGGGCCCGAAAGGGTCCCCTTGAAGTATTGCTTTGCAACCAAGAAGCGGGTTCCGGGTGCACAAAGACCACCCAGTGAGATCCAACGGCGCTGATGCCGCCACATGTCACCGAGGCAAGCAACCACTTTAGGTGGGAGCCCAATTCTGCCAAGCAACGGGACAGCAGTTTCCCAGTCAATGCTGTCGAAAGCCTTGGCGAAATCCCAAGAGGCGGCTATAGGGAAATCTTCCCTTTCCATAGTTTCCTGAAAATTGAGCAAGAGCGTATGGGCATTGTGACCGGCCAGCCCCCCAACTTGGAACTCAGTGAGCACAGGGCCCAATTGAGTAGTAGCTTGACTGTAGCGGAGCTTAGCCCAACTTCGAAAAATAACACTGCCAATAGCAATAGGTCTAGTTTTCAAAGCGTTGGTACAGAAGGTGGAATCCTTTTGTTTGGGTAAAAAACTGATGCGCCAATGGTGCAACTGAGAAGGCCATTGGCCCTGAGCCTCGATCCGGTTAAGGACTTGAATCAGTCTTTCCAAACACAGAGTCGGCATCTCGAGGAGCAGTTCAGCACTCCAGCCATCCGTCCCGGCTGCTTTGTGCTTCATAGTTTTCAGAACCTTAATAAGGTCATCGGAATTGAGATCCGGGACAGTGACCGGTTCAAAAGTAGGCAACCAAGGGCCGTAGGTTTCCAAGAACTGCGCAACCTGTGGAACATAGTCACAGTCCCCATTGAAGACAGGCTTCCAGGCTTGGTGCAACAAGGCCGCACCCCCACCCAGGCCGGAGGACTGTGTTTTTTGACCCACTTGCAGGCACCTGACATAGTGGAGACCCGTTGACGCCAAGAGGCCAGAGCATCCTTCTGGGCCTGGTTGAGGTGAATGTCAAGAAGATCTTTGGTGTGTGTTCGGAGCCTACCCCAATCCATCAAACCAATAGGCTCAACCTGACCAAGGCGTCGGCACATGTGTTTGACTTTCCTAACAAGCCTGACATCCGGCCTTTTCCCATGTTGGAGCTGAGCCAGAATTTCATGAATACGGCGTAGGTGCCGCCTCAACTGTCTTTCCCGAATGGATTGCCCTGATCCAAGATTCGAGGGTGCTGACCACAATTTGGGTTGGGAGCCACGGTGTTGGTAATGTGTTCCTTTGGCCAAGATGCCTGAAAGTTGCAGAAACTTCTCAGTGCCTGCACTCCACTGTGCCCAGAGGTTATCGATGGAGGCGTGTTGGCAAAGCTCTTGCCATACCTCCGTGTGGCAAGCACATCGTTCCCAGTTCGCTGGCACGTCACTTTGAACCTGGGTATCTTCAGCGCCTGGACAAGAAATAGGAGCATGAGGACGAAACATCCAGTTAGGGGGGCTAGGCAGTAAGTCGACTTTGTCAACATGAATCAAGGATCCGTCATGGTCGGAGATTTGCGGCATATGCCGGATCTTTTCCGCAACCAAACTCTCGGAGACCCAGACAGTGTCGATGTCTTGAGTGCTGCTTTGGTGACCTGACCCACCCAGGTACCTACCACCAACCAGGTTGATGATATCAGTAAGGGCATTAGAGCCTTGGGGCATGTTCCAATCCAAACAAGTGATCCAGTGTTTGTGCTGCACTTTGGTAAAGGTTTCAGCCAGGGGCCGTGGAGGCTTCCTCAACCGTAGGAGACGGATTTCTGTAACCACAAATAATGGAAAAAGGAATGCGGCAACCCAAGACCTCACAAACCAAGATTTGGCCCCAAGAAGAACTGTGAGCCAAAACTTGGGTGAGAGCGAGAGGCTCCCTGGACAAAACCAGAACCCCTCCGTGAGTTGCAGCCACAGAGACCGGTATCGCCACACATTGCCACCCCTTCCTGTGACAAGTATTGCAGAAGGAAGGAATGCTGTTATAACTCAGCCTACTTTCCTGGATGCAGACCAGCTGCGCGGCTTGCTCATTAGCAACCCTGAGAACCTCATCCAAGTGTTTTTGAATGGAATTGATATTATAAGTGAGGACTCGGATGCTCTCCGGCCCCGGGTGGGAGGCCTCTCCGATCCTTTCACCTCGGTGACCTCTGCCGGTGGCAGTGCTTCCGTCGGCCTTTTTGGACAGAGCTCGGGTGGCCTCTTGGCGACAGCGACCCCACAACAACTTACGCTTCTTGAGGGCTGTAGGCCTACCTGAAAACTGTGGGCAAATCACAGCAGGAACTCGGTTTCTTTGAACTGGCAAACCACAGGTGTTGCACTTATGGTAAATGTTGACCTCTTGCTTGCCAGTCTTGGACTGATAAGGTCGAACAAAGCAAACGTCTTGTTGGATGTCATGGGCACCCTTCCATTTATGTTTCTGAAACTGCTGATACTGCAGCGCCCATCTTTTGTCGAAATATTCTTGGCAGAACAAGACCCGATGGGGGGCGGTCAAAGGGTTACCCGTAGGCAGCTTCTCAGCTTTCACCCCATGAAGTCGAAACAAGTGGGACTGACGTTTGGTAGTTCTGGTGGAGCCAGGGTCACTGACCAGAATCTTATAATCACACCAAGGGCACTTCCACCAGACCGTATCAAGCGCAACAGGGGCACAAGGAATGCCTTTGAGTCTGCTACGGGTTTCTTTATGTCGCAAGGTATTATGCTGCCAAAGTTGCTGCTTTCGGAGGGCCGTGTCCCGGACAGCTTCCTTTCTCTGAGCCAAACGCTCCTTTTGCGCTTGGGATTTAGCCTGCTTGGCTGCCTGTGTCCAACACTTCAGCCAAAGTTTACTGCGTTGTGCACGAGTCAGGGGCTGCTTGTTTGGAACCACATCGGCACTGCACTGAGAGCCATAAACACTTTTTTGGATCTGCTGTTGGCAAGCTTGACACTTGAAAGGAAACCCGGAGTCGGTAGCAGAAAGAGTTCCAGGGTGCCTGTGCATCCCAATGCTTTTATGTTTAACTAAAAGAGGCAACACAAATTTCCAGGTCAATTTCTTTCTGTTGGCCTGAGCCTCTCTGACCACGTCCGAACTATCGGCCCTGGGAATATCAGCAACAGGAACTTTGTGCGTATTCCGCAAATGTGTCCATCTGCGACTGGTATGATGGTGACTTCCAGGAGTACGCCACACTTCGTATTTGCAGCCGGGGAACGTACAGGTCCACCATAAAACTTGGTTACCGGCAGAGCCGGTCCCATGTGCAGGAGGTACCTCATCCAGAACCTCAGCCTTTCTTTTCTTTGAAGAGTTGTTACCAACACGGCCACCCTGACCGAAATCGGACCCCTGAGATTTGCAAATACCCAAACTGGTTTCGCTCCCCGGGGGGAGGCTAAGGGATGAACCATCCTGAACACTCTTCACACAAATTCGAGACTGTTTGCGGGCACTCCCCGGAGGGGTGCCGATCTCGGACCCAATCTGTGAATAATCTAACCTAACCTTCTGACTCAGTGTAGAACTAGAAGGCAACGACAAAGCAAAACCAGTGTCTTTGTTAGCTGACTTCCGACAGTTAGTGTCCCGTGACTTTTTCAGGGTACGGAACCTGCGTGAGGGAGACATGGAAGGCAAGTTGAGACGGGAAGGCACCTGGGAACCTGACTTTTTGGAAGCATTGTGGGAAGGACGGGACGAAGGGAGACTCAACGCGGACCGACCGGGGACAGACGGA